GCACTTGTTTCGCGTGCATATAATATCCAGTTTTCGCGTGCATATAATATCCAGTTTTCGCATGCATATGACACGCATCTACCCCACAACCCTAATCCTACCCATTGCGTATCATATGCACGCCAAAGTCCATTTTTGCATATAGTGTGTGTGTGTATATATATATATATATATATATATATATATATGAACTGTGATGTTTGGCGAAATAAGTAAACGTTAACTATTGAATGCGTATTTTATGACCTTTTTTAAAAAATTTTTTTTACAGTTTTACACACGCAATAAACCATGAGAGGCTGTGTTTTTTTTAATTATTATTATTAATTAAAATTAAATGTTACCACAACTAAGGGGTACTGCAGAGGACATGTGCACCTCTGTAGTGCAGAGCCCATAAGGGACATAGTGAAATGAGTAAATGAAGAGATTTTATTTTTTAGCAGAAGGATGCAGGTGAGTGCTGATGGGAGAGTTTTCAGTTGTTTCTTGAATAGTGTAAAAAATTCATGTTCGGGCTTCTGAAGTGGATGTAGACCGTGCATGTTCTGTATGCAAGCATCAGTGACTTAATTGGTATCCGGGCAGAGAGTGCAGCAACATACATGAATTATTGTAGAGGTTTGATTGCACATGATGGTCCAGTCAGAAGAGCATTGCAGTAGTCCAGCACAGAAATGACTGTTGCGCAGCAGTTAAAACCAGCAGAATCATTCTGTTCTTGCAGTATGGTCGTTGAAGTATTACCTGAATATCTTTAAAGTTGCTGCAACTTCATATTAACACATACAACTAGATCATCTAATTATATTCCCTTGAATATCCCTAGAAAGAAAACTACTTATGGTCATTCTGCTTTTGAATTTGCTGCTTCAAAAGCTATTGAAACTAGAGACAAATATTTCAGTCTGTGCATTTAAAAATGCTACACTGTAAAAAATGATTCATTGCATTTACTAAAAAAAAAATTAAGGTAAGTGGTTGCAATCAATTTATTTTAGCTACATTTAAATAAATTTAGTTGACTAACTTTCAACATTTTTTTAATTTAAATGTAGCTAAAATAAATTGTTTGCAACCACTTACCTTAAACAAATTTAGTATAATTTTTTTTTCAGTGTAGTGAGTGCTTTTACTTCAACCTGTAAATGATTTAACTAAGATTTTTTGTTTGCTTGTTTTGTTTTATGTGCCTCTTGTGTATGGTTGTATATGCCTGGTTAAATAAAGGTTAAATGAAATGAAGGTCATCAAAGATTACCCCAAGATTTCTAACGGAGCTTAATAAGATTGTTGCTCATGAACCTAGCTGGATGATGAATTGTGCTGTAGAGTCGGACTGGCAGGGAAGACGAGAAGCTTAGTCTTTGCCAGGCTGAGCTGCAGGTGATGTTCCTTCATCCATGATGAGTGTCCGCTAGCCTGAGATTTGTGCTGCTGTGTGTCATCAGCATAGAAATGCTAGGACAAACCATGTGCCTGCATAAGGGGTCCCAGCAATGAAGTGTATATGGAGAAGAGGAGCGGTCCAAGGACTGAACCCTGAGGAACCCCTGTGACTAGTTGATGTGCTTTGGATACCGATGACTTAGAATCAGCTTTTGCAATTTGCAGAGCTTCAGTGACCGTCAGCAAGGCAGTCTCAGTTGAGTGACTTCTTTTAAAACCTGATTGGTTGTCATCCAGCTGGATACTCTGAGAAAGAATGGGTGATACTTGATGAAGTGTTTTCGTTATGAATGGGAGAAGAGAAACACGTCTGTAACTTTCCACAAGTGCAGTGTTTAGTGTGTTTTTGTTTTTTGGAATGCTGTGATGAGATGTGATGAAATACATTTGCATTTGATCCCAAAATCTTTCCCGAGATTGTCTGGTTCCCTGGTGCCCTCCAGGACCGAAGTTGTCCAGCCCTGCTTTAGGGAACCTTATTTGTTAGAAACAACACGGATTTGGAATGCATGTGGCTGCTAGCATTAGGCTATATGTTTTCCAGTGCTGCAATGTGAGGTTTGGTGATATACTTTTTAATTAATGTTTTGTTTCCAATTAGTTAGATGACGATTATAATAACTGATCATGACAGATTATTTCCATGTTTGTTGTGCATAGTGCCTTTGATATCCATTAAAATGCAATTTTTGCTGTTTTTTTTTTTTTTAAATGTTGTTGCTGTTACAGTCTGTATGACCTGTTTGTCTATGGATATCTTTGTCTATTAGTGTCCAGAAGAAGCTTTCCAAAAATGAACATCAACTCGGTTGAATCGGCGCACCTGTCGACCAGCTGTGGAAAGCTTTTGTGCATTCAAGGCAGGCAGAGGCCCAATCATTCTCATCAGCTGGTTGCAAAGAATGAACAGAAATTGAACCCTGGAAACTCAGGTAAAAGTCTGAACCTGTGCTGTGATCTGTCTGTGTCTCAGTCATTACTGTATGATGTGATGGCCTCAGTACTGTGATGTCATTTGTAGTTTCTTGTTTTGTACAGTAAAGTTCTGTTTTGTTTTGTTTTTCAACTGTACCTTTCATGAAAGTGTTTGCATAATGATTTAATTCTAATTCCAGCAATATGATTTGTCTTGTCTTCTTCAGTCAAGGTGTATCATATCTTGTATAATAGAACCAGACAATGCATGGCTTTTGGCTTTGAGGTGGAAAATAAGTCTGTTTTCCCTGTTGTTACTCATGGTGAAGCGGTCAAATTTAAGGTAATGTCTCAGACACTGAATTGCAAAGAAACCGCTTATTGCCAAATACTTTCTTGTGCTTTTATTTGATAATTTCTGATTCTATATAATCATGTCTGCTGGCTTTCACACGCAGGCTTTACCCACAGACAAGCTGATTACGGGAAAGGCCTTTGATGAAACGTTCTTATTTCAGTGGGGTGAGCAAGAGATCTCTGGAGATTGGAGGAGTCTGGAATCAGTGGCTAAACCCAAAAAGTACCTGTGTGTTAAAAATGAGGTCAAAGTGACCATCACAAAAAAACAGAGTCCGGTTTTTAGAATCTGTTACTCAGATGAGAAAAAAGGTAATGTTTGTGAGAGGAATATTGTACTTTGTGAATAGTTACCGTGTCTGCTGACTCTACACAATACACTGTAAAATCTAATCATCCATCTGTTGCATTTATAAAACGTAACAGGTGAGGAGTTGCAGAGTCTCTGTGGATCGGGTAAAATTCAAGAGACAAATCCATACAAAAAGATCTCCTGGCAAAGACGCAACTTAAAAAGAGGACCTTCATGCCGCGAGGGATCGGCATCCAATAAACCACTGCACTGCAACGACAGGTACTTCTAAAGTGTAATCCGTTACTGTGTAGCGAATCAGCTCATGGGGAAATATGAATAATTAATCATAACTAGTTATAATTAATTATAAATATTTAGATCCGCTGTAGATATTTACTTGACCTCTCAGGGTCAACTGTCTGTCAATTGTAAGAACGTTAATTTCCTGGTTAAGGGAAATAACTTTCTTACTGTACAATTCTACAAAGAGCTTGTAGCATAAATCTGCATGATTAAGTGACTCCAGTTATGAGCAAACAAGGAACAACGTCAAGTGTGATACAAGTAAGACTTTATTAACTACATAAACACTTAAACTAGTCTAACATACACATACACACTACACA